CCCGAAACACGTTTCCTCAAACAATTTTCTTTGTGCAGGTGAAAGCTTCGAAGCAATTGTAGTGGCTAGGCTAACTTTATTCCTTAATGTCAATGAAGCCGAAAAAAATTTCTACAAAAACAATAAACATACCAAGTTAGATATACCAAAAACTACACTGTGAAGATATACCAAAAACAAGAAACATAAATAGTAGTTTATTCTTGAAACTAAAATTTGCAACACTGTTTTGTCTTTTGGTTGAAATGAAAATCGCAACGAGAGAATGAAAATCGCAACGCGGAAATGACTATCACAACAAGAGAATCGCAACGCGAAATGAAAATCGCAACGAGAGAATCGCAACGCGAAATGAAAATCGTAACGCGAAATGAAAATCGCAATGCGATTATCTCGTTGCGATTTTCATTTCGCGTTGTGATTATCTCGTTGCGATTTTCATTTCGCGTTGCGATAGTCATTTCCGCGTTGCGATTTTTATTCTCGAAACTATTCTTCTGCATTACTTCAACCAAAAGACAAAACAAAGACAAATACTAACATAACAGGGTTAAATATTAAACAGTTTAGCAGTATTGACAGCAATTGAATAAATTTAATAAGAAATCTAAGTGACATGATTAATCTATTATTGAAATTACCAGTAAACTTATCATCAATTTCAATATGAAAAACCTAAAATAATGCAAAAATTTCAAAATAAAAATAATTAAAAAAAACTAACCCTCGGAGGTTGATTTTCCATTTCTGAATGATTGTGAGGGATTTCTGACTGTGAATGGTTGTGAGGGATTTCGCCGGCGATGGGGACGGAAATCTTTGGAGATGGGGACGGATTTCGCCGTAGAGAGTGAGAGATGGAGATGGGACTGAGTGTTGTGATTTTAGGTTTGAGGTTATGAGTTGCGATTACTGTGAACGGTTCAGTTTCTGATATATTAAGAAAAAATTCGTGTTTGGAATTTGAAAAAAAAAACGCGTTAATACGAATGGCGCTATGTAAATCGCATTGCGATAGTCAGATTCGCATTGCGATTTACGTATTCGCATTGCGATTTTCCTAATTGCATTGCGATTTACTTAATCGCGTTGCGATTTACGTATTCGCATTGCGAATTATGAAAATCGCAACGCGAATACGTAAATCGCAATGCGAATTAGGAAAATTGCATTGCGATAGTCAGTATCGCATTGCGATTTTCCAAATTCGCATTGCGATTTACTTATTCGCATTGCGAATTGAGAAAATCGCAACGCGAAATTGGAAAATCGCATTGCGATAGTAATAATCGCGTTGCGAATCTGGAAACTGATTTGCGATAATGGAGATCGCGTTGCGAATTAGCGATCGCATTGCGATTTTGTTGGTCATTTTGGCAAATCCGGAAAAAGTTGGTTAAAATCGTATATTATATGGGATTTTTGGTCACTGAGGTTATTTTCTCTTATTAAAATTACTAAAAGGTTGGTATAAGGAAATTTACTACAATACTCCCAAGATTGTCTAGTTGGGATTTTAAAGACTATATTGGTTAAGAATAAATGGTACAATTTGAATGGCATTGACTTGATTATTCTTGCGACGTATATTATTGATTATACGGTGTATGTATGCTAAACGAATATTGAATAATATATATACAAAAGTTAATAGGGTGACTCTTACTAGAGCCCCGAATGATTAGAGTGATTCACATGATAACACCTAATCATATTTATTATGGGTGACTCATATAGGAGTCCTGAAGCATTAGAGTGACTCGTACGGGAGCATCTGATCACATTTATTCTGGTTGACTTGCACGGGAGTCTTGAAGGATTAAAGAAACTTGTACAAGAGTACCTAATCATATTTACTCTTAGTGATTCATACGGGAGCCCTGAAAGATTAAAATGACTCACACGAAACACCTTATCACATTTAATTTCGATGACTCGTACGATAATACAAAGTGGATAGGATAACTCGCACGAGAGCACCTGTCAATTGTTATTTATCGAGTGAATCGTACGAAAGCACTCAGCTTGTAATGAACTCAAGCTTTTATGATAATAATATTAGAGTTGAGCCTTTAGATTAGTTAAAAAACTATAAATGCTACAGTTATGGCCTTTGTGTGCATATATGTGAGTTGCCTATTTATTATTTATGAAATTTTTGAAATATGACAGAGTAGTTGTGTACTCATTGGATTTATTAGCTGACTCTTTGAATAATTATTGTTTTATGTTGCGGGATTTATGAATCACGATAGGATAACGATATCGTCAAAGTTATCTCAATGAAAGTATCTGAGTACAACAAAGATGACTTAAAAGACATGTAGAGGTTATGGTTTGTCATTTATAATTAGAGTCGTATCATAAATATGTTTTATATAAGTTCATGTTTTCCTTGTTTATTATAGATTGTTTTAAATTTTTGAGTAAATCATGGTTTTTTTCAAAGTCAAAAAAGTCTTGAATCACTTTGGTGACCAAATGTGACACTCGTGAACTTGACGTTGAGTAAGGTCGGGTTTAGGATGTTACATAAGTGGCTTCAATGGTAAAAGAGAAGGTTATGCTCTCTAGAGGTTCTAGGTTCGAACAACTACATTTGTAGGGTGTGTGAGCATTGTCAATAGGTAAAAAAAATTCTAAATAGATGCTAAATTGTAGTCACTCTAAACTATTCAAAAAACATAGGTTTAAAAATTATTTCATACAAAGCCTAAGTTTTCACTGTGGATTATTGAAATAATCAGAAGTCTAAAAGGGACAGAGCAAGACCTATAATAGAATTATGTTATATTTTGACCCAAATTATAATTAATAATTAAGTTAAATTTTATTGTAATTATAGTGGTTAAAGATTCATTGGTAATTTGACTTTATTTAATAAATATTTATTTTAAGCAAGATTTCTTATACAATAAGAATTCTTGGTAAGTATTTGACTCTATAAATAAAGATATTGTCTTAACATTTAGGGTTAATGTGAGAGAGAATTATTTTGAAGAGATATAATCCTTTTTGGGATCTCTATAACTTTTTGGAGTTTATATTGTAGAGATAGATTTATATGGATATATGAAGAGTATTTTGGGAGATATCGGGTTTTGATATTTATATCAGGTTTTAGAATATATGTGAAATCATGTATTTGTACTCTTCGTGTTTTATATGTTTATAGTGGATTATTGTTCATCTCGTCCGTGAAGCAGGTGCGCGAGACACTTCTACGGCTAACTATGTGCTGAAGCCTTAACACTCGCAAGGGGTGGGTTGGCAGGTGTGATGTCCTTACCCGGATACACCACAGCAAGTGCGCAAGGCACTTTGACGGCTAAATTGGGAGCGAGGCCTAACACTCGCGAGGGGTGGGTTAGTCGAACGTGATATCCGTAGTTGCTAGTATCTGATTGCTTTGTGAGAACAGATACTAGTCAGTATTGCATATAGATAGTACACAATCGAGTTAGAGTCACATTTAGATAATGCAAAGCAGTTGCAGTCAATATGAGTAAAGATCCAATAGAGGGCGTACTCGTGGCGAGGCCTTTGTCTGAGGAATAAGGGAAGCGTAAGACCCTTGTTTCAGCGACAAAATAGTTGAGCATTAAGTAGGTAGCACTTGATCAAGATCATGTATGTGCCTACTGCTTAGTACCCTATCTTTAGCACACTTATGTTTATAAAACTCTTAATGTTGATGTAGATTAGCGATTATACTGATGTACTTTGTAAGCTCAACCTTCGGATGTTTTCCGTTGGTAGGTCAGTAACTTGGGCAGTTCGTGAAGCATTGTCGCTGCAGGACTTCCAGTATCTCCTTCAGAGTACTGTATTATAGCTTTAGTAGCTTCGGTATAATTGTTTTATTAAAGATAGAGATGTATTATTTTGGTTTTAAATTGTGTATCATGGGGCTCTAGTTAATAATTGTTTTATATGTTGTATGATACCATTGAGTATGTTTTAAAAGAAAACAAACAAATTTTGAAAATCAGGGGTTGCTTCGGTAGCTTAATGTAACACTTTAGGCCCATTCGAGTTTAGGGTGTTACAATTTCCACTCTCAAATACCTAACAAACATTGTGTTCATAAGTAGTTTAAAGCTCATTTCGGCTCCTCTATAGGATTCATGGCGTTATTTAATTTTATATGATTATATACTAATAATATCTAAGGATAGATCGATGGAGGAATAGGTGGTGACAATTGTTCTTCTGATTTTTTTTATTGATTTGGGATAAGTATAAGGTAATATATGTTTAAAGATAACTCTCAATCAATCGACATTAAACACGCTCATACCTCTTCCATTTCTGGTGTTCGAACCCGGAAGCTCAAGGAATACCAACAATTCTTTTAACACCAAGGTCGCTTGGTTCGTGCTTCTTATGAAAATTTTAAATTATCATAATATATATATATATATATATATATATATATATTCTTTGTATTTTCTATTAATAATATATTTATATTCCTTTACAATTTTATAAGTGTATTCTCTAGTATAAAATCATGTGTATGTCCCTAACATATCAATAGATAGAGAATCGAATGTGATCAAAATAGGAGTAAAATGAAAGTCTGATGAGTAAATTAAAAATATTAAATTTTAGTAAATAAATTAGGAGTGAGAAGAGAATTGCTTGATGGATTGAATTTGTAATTTAATTTAAAAGTTAAATTCAAATAACGGTTGCTAACCGGTTTTTCCTTTAATCATTTCGCGCCTCGACCTGTACGAAGCGGAGCTGTCAACATGGGGAATATAGCGTAAGCTTCACTCTACTTTCCCGTTTGGCGTCGACTCTCCATTTTTATCACACCAGATATTCAAATTAAGGAAACTGAAGCTCACGCTACAAATGCTTCCCTCGTCAGCACCGTCCATTTGTAAAAATACCCGATTTTCTTCTTCGATTTCATTTTAGTTTTTTGTTTGTTTGTTTTTATAAATTATTTTTTTTTTTTGGCTGTCGCTGCCATGGCAACGGCGGGGGAGATGGATCAATTGACGTCGGGAGCAAGCAACCGGTTAATCCCGACCCTGAGAACCCTACGAATCCCTCTTATTTTCATTCGATCAATGATCTTGTGTCTTCTCGTGCTCCTCTTCCCTCGGCGCCGGCACTCTCAAAGGGGGGTCACGGCTGCTAAAATCACTCAGCGGAGGTCGGTATCGAGGTGGGAAAAGGAGGACACCTTGAGAAGGAGAGCCTTGACGGAGGCTTTAGACATGGGGTTTGTAACAGGGGACGGAAAGATTCAGTGCCGGTGGAGCACGTCTCTATTCTTTGGTGTTCGAGGAAATGCCTTGTTTTGCCGGTCTTGGTTTCCGCTTACCGGTGAATTGAGGTATGCTATACTTCATTTCTTTGTTATAAAATTGAGGGAAAGAATGAATTAATCGGATACATTTCTGTTAGATTGTCTCCTAAGTGCTGCTTGTTTGTGATTTTAGGGGCATTTTGATAATCATACACGGGTTGAATGGGCACAGGTAACCTTAGTTTGTTGATTGAATTGTGTGAACTTTTCAGTTTCCATAAATGAATCTCATTTTCCATGCTCAGGATGGACCGAAGGGGCGGTCGGGCAGTCACACTTCAAATTATCATATATATTAGATATTTTATTTACATATTTTATTAATGATATGTTTTCGCCCTAACATAAAATCATGCTTTCTTCCCTGTCCACAGTGGAAGATATGCTCAATTTGCAAAGCAACTAAACTCTAGCAACTTTGGTGTACATGAAATGGACTGGACAGGTACATAATTTGACACAAATGCTCTAGTAGATCTTTCGTTCTCTAGATAGTTCAAGGGCCAAACGTTGTAATCCCCTGTAGATAATGACATAAACTCTCTGGCTGTAGGTCACAGTGGCAGTGATGGATTGCATGGATATGTTCCTTCACTCGATCATGTAGTTGCAGACACTGTAAGTTCTTGAATTGTTCTGTATCTATAATGTGCCTTGAGATTAACTCATACTCGTTTGTTTTATAATATTCGATCAGATTATCTTCTTGCTCTTTCGTATATCATTTGAGTGTTACCGACTTTCATGGCTACTGCTTGGCTATATAGTACTAAAACTTTAACTTGTTCTGTTTCTTAAGGGGGATTTTTTGTGGAAAATCAAATCAGAGAATCCCGGTGTACCGTTGTTCCTTTTTGATCACTCTACTGGTGGAGCGGTGGCTGGAAAATCAAATCAGAGAATCCCGGTGTACCGTTGTTCCTTATTGGTCACTCTACTGGTGGAGTGGTGGCTTTGAAGGTACGACATATGTTGAAGGCGTAGCGTTAAGGGTTTAGAGATCGGGGTTCATGTTATAATTAGTACCTGAATTATCAGTTGAACTTTTGGTTTAATAAGGCTTAAATGTGCAGGCAGCTTCATATCCTTGTGTTCAAGAAATGCTGGAGGGAATTGTTCTTACATATCCAGCATTACATGTCAAGCCAGCACATCCAATTTTTACTGTAAGTTTCCCCTAGTTCTTGTTTCGTAGTCGCACTAAGTCAGTTTGTATTGATCTCTGAGGTTTATTTCTTGAAGAAAAGGATTAAAAAGTTGGCAGTTCCTTAGAAACCAAACAATAACCAGTCATATGACCCTATGAAATTCTTTAATGCTCCGTTCGGGAATTCGGATTTCTAGCTGTTCGAATCTGTATTTTAATACCGATCGAAATGGTTTTCGGATATGGTATACTATACCGGTTCCCCCATTTAAATTTTCGGCATGGTACCTTTGTGGAGGCCCTTGCTCCTCTTGTTTCTCTGATTGCTCCAAAGTTGCAGTTCAAAGGTACGACAAGAGGGGCATCCCAGTTTCAAGGGATCCTGCAGCAATGTCGGCCAAGTACTCCGATCCATTGGTCTACACCGATCTGATAAGGGTCCGAACCAGGCACGAGATATTTGCGAATATCATCACACTTGATGCGGATTTTCAAGTCTGTGACTATCCTATTCTTCGTTCTGCATGGAACGGCGGACAAAGTAACCGATCCTCTCGCCTCCCGGGATTTGTACAACAAAGCAGCCTCCGAGTTCAAAGACATTAAGCATTACGAGGGCTTCTTGCACGACCTGCTCTTCGAGCCGGAGCTAGAAGAGATCGTACAAGATATAATAGACTGGATGAAGAAGAGATTAGATGCAAGTGTTGCTGGTTTAAAGTGAGATTTGTAACCATGGGAAATTATTTTATTTAGTAATTTGTTTGTTTTTTCATGGTGATCTTGTTGATTTGATCATTTCATTTTTATATACCGGTCGAATTTTGTGAGATTTTCAATAGATCGATTTCGTTAATGATGGAATTAATTCCTTTCAACGCATCTAAAAGCTCACTCCCAGTGAATATTCACTCTCAATCACATCTGATCAATAAATTAAATAAATATTTATGTTATGATATAAGCTAAAACCAAGTAACTTCAATAGTTGACTTGTTTTTCTTTTTGTTTTGTAGTCGTAGATTCAAACACCACAAATGTAAGGATATGAACGTTTATTAGCAAATGATCGAGAGTCTTTGAATAAATATTACAATCTATCTCATATTTATTAAAAAAAAGTTACGATATAATGTTGTAATTGATCATAAATTAGAAAAATATAAATATATTTTAAAATTACAAACAGATTAAAAATAAAAATTAACTCAATAAAAGTACTATGAGAGGATAGTGACAGGCACGATAACCCTAAAAAATCTAATTATATCTTAAATATACGATCACTGAATTCTAAACAATAAACATGTACTATACCACCAAGAGTTTCGATCTCTCACCCCCAGTAGAATCAGTGGTGGACTACGAATTTGGGCCTATAAACCCGATAATCTTTGAATCCATCACATATATTTATTTTTCTCATAATTTTCATTTTTCATCAAGTTACACTGCTAGCTTTTTTAAACCGAATCAAATAGAATTCAAATCACAGTCTTTAATAATTTAATTTCTAGTTAACTTTGAAAAAAAGATTTTATCACATATAATTTCTTATTTATAAGATAATAATATTTTTCGAATTTAAATATTTTAAAACTAATATTATGGTATAATTATTAATTTGATGAGAAGCTTATATTTTAGTAAATAAAAATATAAATTATCCGGATAAATAAATAAAACTTCGAAAAGAGTGTCAATAGAGAATAAAATTCTATGGAGCACCTTATAAAATTCTCCCAAAAACCTGCGCGACGTCTTGTTCTATTATAAGACCATGCCATTCAGGTAACATCAACGAATCTTCTTCTTTTTAATGATTTTTATGTATTTCTTATATTTTTATTTCATGTCTTTTACGTTATTTTTAGATTGTTATATATTTTCTTAATTTTTAAGATCAATATCAATACTTTTTAAAAAGAAAAAAGGGTCTCATTAAAAACCCATTTTAAGTCTATAAGAGGAAAAGAGTGCTCTAGGAACTTGTATTACCATAAACATAATCGTTGGATACAATAGACGATATAAACTCAGGACAAACTAAGTCAAAATACACAACATTGTCGTACCTAAAAGCCCATGTAGCTAGAGTATGGGCTACAGAATTACAAGATCTAGGAATATAGCAAACCTTGAAGTGGATCCTAGCCTCTAGTGTCTTACGAGCATCCAAAAGGTGGTAACCCAACGTGGATAGATCCTCCTCTTGTCGAGATAGCTTGTTAACAACGAGCGTTAAGTTCGGTTAAAAAATGACATGGGTTCAATTATACTCGCTAGCCAACGAAAGAATAGCATTGAAAGCGTGAATCTCTATTAGGCCAGCTTCAACACAACCTAGCAATGTCGCAGCCATTCCTCCAAGTACATGGCCGAAAGAGTCATGAAAAATAACACCAACAACTGTCATCCTCCCAATGGGTTCATAAGCACCATCCAGGTTAATTTTAACATAACCAATAAGGAAAGGTTTCTATTTCGTATGAACTAACAGTGACGACGTTCTAGGAGCAAAATGCACAGTCCTCACTCTTCCCAACGCTTGATTTCTGATCGATAAAAATTCTTATTACAAGGACCTGACATTGATAGCCAGTATCCATGGGGTTGCCACTTGTTTTCATGCACTTTGGAATTCCTTCCGTTCTAAAGATTCCAAAGGAGAACAAGAGCAAGCTAGGTCATCAATCTTCATGGAAGAGATTGCCAAATTGAGCCAATCTAATCGAGGTACAAATTGACTAGACAAAAATGAACCTTGTACTATGGCGCGAACAAACGTTTCCAGAGCATATGCTCGATCTCTCAAGACGCGAACGACCGTCTCTTCTTCCATTTCATACATTAGATAGATACCATCACTTATTCTAGCCTCACACAAACGTTAACCAACTAGTAAACCACCATAAGTCACTCGCCAAGCAATGATCTTAATCTTAAGAATTTATACATATAAATAATTAAATTTATTAATTTACTTATAACTAAAACTAAATTGATTAAATATATAAATATTCCTATGTAAATATATTATTGTATTATTATAGAAAAAGGCCATCTCATCATTTTTATTAACGAGTTAATGGAGAGTACTTAAAAATTAATCCATCATTAATTCAAAAAAATAATAATAAGAAAAACATAATCGATCAAAAATATAAGTGATGAAATTGAAAGTTTTGTAGTTTGATGTTCAAAATAGAAGTATGTTAATAGTTGGATGACTTAATTGTTAGAGTATGCCCAAAGACAAATCATATGATAATTGTAATAATACATTTGTTTACCGATTTTATTGAATAAAGGCATTGTCACTATTATTTTCAGTTATATGATTGTGTTTAAAATAAATTGAAATATAATAAAGTCCATATAATAACATTATTATTATTAAAAGATCCATAGTCAAGTATTATTATGGGCATGGACAATAATAATACGCTTAAGACTAACATGTTATTGATTGATGACAACGAGTTGTCATTGATATAGAGATGTTAGAATTGATACATTATTATATTGTTAGAGAACAATGTATTAGATTGACCCACCATGAGTATATGTCTTGGATTATTATGTAACGATCATAAAATTGCTCATGGTGATGACTATATGTATGATCCTCAGACTTGAGATCAATGTTATCCCAACATATATTGTTGTATGTTTTGATATAGTTAAGCATGCTCTGTAACTGGTTGCACTATAAAGAATATTATTGAATATATATCGATATATGTAGTGGGTGCGTATGATGAAGATATGATTTGTCCTTCCTATATAATAGGAAATATATCACAGGTCACTTGATTGAGTGAGACTAGAAATGCATAACCATGCTCGAATAAGTTGATGTGAGATATCACAAATTATTCATTAATTATAGTCTACTCTAGATATCAAGAAACAATATATGGGCTATACAAGTGTGACTATTCCAAGACTTGTGTCTATTCTAGATATAAAGCACAAAAGGATGTAATACATAAAAGAGTTAATTACAAAGATGATATTTCGAATCATAATTTCTTGTAACTTAGGTGACAATGATATCTTGCTAGATGTCACTCATTGTATGTAATATTAAAATTGTTCTAATAATTACTACTAACGTTGCAAGAACCTACACCGTCACACTTTAGGAGTGAAATGAGCAAAGATGTACAATTTGTTGTATGTTATTAAAATATATCTGGAGTTAATATATGTATATTTGATGTACATATGATTTTAATTATTCCGAATATAATAAGTAAACACTAAAAGAATGTAATTTTGATTACAACTCTTTTAATCGATATTTTATTCGGAATAATTAAATAAGAGTTTAAATAAACGTTAAAGATTATAATTCATATTATAAGTCTTTAATGGATATTTAATTTGAATTAATTAAATAAGATTTTTTATTAATTCGAAATAACTTAAAATCTCTAGAAGGTTAGGGTAATTGATATATTTAAAGTGAGGTAAGGTCTAGCAGCCACTTCTCTCTTCAGCCATTTTTCTCAAAACTATTTTTGGGAAAAGTAAATTTTGCTCACAATCGGGTGAACTAAGTAGAGGTCGAGACATGTTTCCGTGAAGGCTTACGATTCAAACAGTTCGTGATCACCATTAGTCACTGCTGTCTTTGTTGTTTTTCAAGGAACCCATTGTAAGTATTTGCATCATTTCCTCCCCATTTCGGTTTTCCGTACTTGGATCGCTGGTGAGACCGTCAAGTTGTGTTTCCGATGCGCCATGGGGTGCGTCGATGGTCCCAACATTAATAATATGATTTACCCTAAAAATTACTAATATTTTTTATTAACAATATCATTTATCCTACAAATCATTAATATTTCTTTTTTTTAAAGAAAGGCATGCCTCATTAAAAACCCTTCTGCCAACCTAAAGGTTGGGTTCGTATAAGGGGAAAAGAGTGCCCAAAATCCATTAATCAACCAACAAACAATCATGTCTTACATCAGACTCAATGAATGTCGGCATATCAGACTCAATGAATGTCGGCATATCAGACTAAAAAATAGGACACATTACAATCAATGGCTCTTTTAGCTAACTTATGAGCAACCTTATTCGCTTCCAGACTAACATATGACACAATGCAACTATTAAACATAGTACATTTCTCTCGAATAGCTGCCATGTGAACACTAATAATAGATTCATCACCAGATATATCATTGTAAAGATTAACAATTGTAGTAGAATCCAACTCAATAATAATGTCTCGCTATTCCTCCTCAATTGCACAATTGACAGTTGCGGCTAGGCTATGCAACTTGGACAAAACTGGTACATAGATACCTCCGAAAGTAGTAGTTAGTTTGCCCTGAACCGAACCACCTGCATCGTGAGCAATAACACCTACCGCTGCCATTTTAATCGTTAGGTTATAAGCACCATCGACATTTAACTTAACAACCTGTCCAACTGGTGACCTCCATCGGTTGATCTCGATAACACTATCCCTTTTAGGG